AAATATTAATAACTAATTAATTAATTAATTAATTAATAGTTAATCTACCATCGCCCCTTGGACATTTGAAGGAAAGGTACTTCGGTCCATTGGGAAGTGACGTGTGAATGAGCCAATCTGCAACATCAGGACAGGTACTGTGAGCCCATTGGCAATACGTCGCGCACCAAGCAGAAGCCATGTGTTAAAATTTGCGCACCTAATCGTCAGCCCTCGCTAGCTCAGGTGGTAGAGCAGCGGACCGGGGTTCGACTCCCCGTCGAGGCATATTATTGTGCGTGAATTTTAATCGTGACTTCTACTTTCTACAAACTTTACCCTACTCACAAACTTCCAACATTAAATAGTTTATTCTCGAATTTGTCCAGACGCACCAAGCAAGGCATGATAAACATTTACATGCAATATTGCTTCGCAACAAACACGTTGCTATGAGTGTAGTCGGCAGTAAGCCGAAGGTTGTACAGGCTGCGGAAATTGTGTAGTTAGTCATGAGGGATAGAGTCTGCATTGAATGGCGAAACGTTGGCTTTTAGCGTGCGTAGTGTAAACACTCATGGCACTATATGTGTAATGAAGAGGATACAAATAAGCACAGTGTAACTTATTATTGAAAGTGTCAGGGCAATATTGAATTATGATTCTGGTCGACTTGCTAATAGGTATTTCTGGGCAGTGACTTTATTTGGTGGCGAGTCACATCCGCCACGTCGCAGTGTTGTTACACGGATATTTGTGGCTTTTTATGGGAAGAAGGCTTGCCAGGCGAAAACCCACCACGTCCTGGAACACTGTCAGAAATTTGTTTGTGCCATAATATACAGCTGGCAGACCAGGTTGTCGACTGATTTCACACTCAGATATCCGCAGTCAAATGACCTACAACTTCCTCTGTTAGTTGATCAGGTATTTTGGGAGGGGTCGCCATAATGGCTGAGGCGAATCAAGGATGGGGGCTTCAGGAAGAATCGTCTTTGTGGGTACCCAGGTGGGTAGAACGTCAGTTTCTTGCGTCTGGATTTTTCAGGAGTATGTCTTCTTTTTAGAAGTGTGAAGTTCTCGAGCCCAGCTAGCATCACTGGACAACGGTCATGGTATGGATTGCAGGTGTATCCGTTTCTTGTACAGCCATGTGCTTCATAGGTCCTTATGGGTTGTCCTGTCCCGGACAAAGGCGGTTTCTCGGTCCAATCCCAGATCCCCAAGAAGTTCCGGACCTCGGAGTAAAGGGAAGGTGAGACAACCAAGGCCGGAACGAACAGGCATGGAAACAAACATTGTTAAAACCCTATGTTATAACACTTGGAGTGGAGACAAATGGTGTACAATGTGCAGCAATGATTGTGCTGAACGTGTCTTTTGAATGTTTTTCGAAAGAAATGGCCCTATAATTTGGTTGCTGCTATCTACATGGAATACAGAGAGTTGCGCCATTAAGCAGAAACGCAGTATCAGTTTGCTATGATGCGACTATTGCGTGGGAAGACAGAAAGCAGAGTTCAGGGACCAGTGGCGTTTGAATGGTGGATGGACGGCTGGTGACCACCTACATCGAAAGAGATACAAAGGTCAATTGGTGGATAGTCAGCGGATAGATAGGACGCAAACGCTGAGTAAAAATTATCGGGGGATCAAGACAGAAAGACGACACGAGGGTACTAGAAGTATAGTGCTATGGCCTACTGAAATAGGAAAAGCCTATGAGAGCTAACCTCCTACCGAGGTAAGTGTCGAAATCTTTGCTGCAATAACGGACCCAGATTACTAGGTGAGAAAGGATTGATCGATAGAAGTGAAGTATTAAAGATCAGTTAAAAGAAAGGGAACGTGCGGAACAAATATATACGTAGTGTCGCGCAGAGAAACAAGTCATTCTAGGGTGCTAAGAAAATGGTGAGAAATGAACACCTAGAAATGTGAAGCTAACGGGCGTCTGTGTGCTCAGGTGAGAGGAGTGAAGAACTAAGAGGCTAAGAAACATTAATTGACGGAAGTGCAGGGAATAGCCGGAATGCAAGCGTAGAGTAAGGTTGCTTAGTGTATCAGAGCAATGAGGACTAACCGTTGAAGCTAGGGTGCTAAGATTATAGTACCAATCTGGATAGTGCCAGAGAATGCTAGCCCGAGAGCTGGAGGGTTGCAAGTAATAAGGACTAAGACAATACCTCGAGTAAGGGATAAATGAACATTACGAAGGTTGAGGCAAACAGCGGCTTGCACTGAATACCTGGATATGCCTGCACGACAGAAGAGAGTTAAGCAAGGTTTCATTAAAGAATGACAACGAACGAATGAATCACAGGCATACGTCAAGGCTCTTAAATAGTTTAGATCAAAAATAGGCGAAGACACGGGGACGCGCACATAATAAGATCACGCTGTGGTGCTAAAGGAATAAAACTAGGGAAGACTGCGCCGGGAGAAGCCAGTGAGAATACTAAACTGCCATTAATTAGTTGTCACAGACGAGTGACAGCTGGGCATCTAGCAAGGAGCAGCTGTGCACTGACCGGATGAGGTAAAGAAGATCGCCAGACGAGAGCTAAGAAGGTCGGATAAAGAAAGGACAATAGATAGGAAGAATGCAAGCATCCAGTGAGTTGATTGAGGGAGTCATATCATATAATGCTGAACCACGGCGGTGGATACGTTCGCAATTCATGCTATGGTGCTGGGATACTACTACCTTGGAAAGAGCCTGGGAAAGCTAGTCCAACGGCTGGACGCTTGCAGGTGAAAAAGTCGAAGACTTGTAACCACAACCTTGTGTACGATTTTAATTTCACAACTTGGAATAGTACTAAGTTAGCTGACACTGCACCCGTGGTATTGTTAGCATACGCTGCACTCTATAAATTCACCTAAACAGGCCTGGCAAGTAAGGTTGGCGAGATAACGTGGGCAGTACATGGTTAGATTGGGTGCGATGCCGTCTCCATATTAGGCTTTACAAATTCTCAAGCCGACTTGCAAAATTCCGATCCAACGAGAAGTAAAATAAGGAATATTTAAGTGATTATCCTACCTTCCTGTACCAACTGAACTTCTTATCGTACTTGGTCCGAAGAGGTTGCGACTCGCCTCTTCTCTTCTATTATCGGACCAATACTAGCGTACAGCTCGCCCACCTATTCTCCGCTCACTCGAGACGACGTGCAAGGGATTGAGCGGGTACAGCGTGCTGCCACAAGCCCCAGCCCAAGTTTAAGAGGTGTGCCATATGAAGACAGGTGCAAGATGCTATGGTTGTACACCCTGTCTTATCGGCGATGGGGGTTGACTTTATCATGAGGCACCATATATTACATCAGGGCGAATACCCCATCTTGAGGCCGCTGCTGCGCGTGCGCACACCAAGCAGCCCACGAGGACACAGGTACACGCATGTCGTACCGGGTTTGAAGCGCGTCGCTCACCAACTCTGCTTCGAGCGGAGGGGGTGAATAGTTGGAAAACTGCCTGCAAGCCTAGTAGAAGCAAAGTCGGTGTCGGAACTTAGAAACGTTTGGACTTACTCTTCCGACTATACATTTTGAGAATAATCACCATTATCATGGGCAGTTTTGTATGGAAATTATTAAAGCTAGCTACACATAGACGTGTTTGCACGCTGCATTTTCTCAGTATACACCATCGTCCATCAACATCATCCTGTACGACACAGGAGCATCTGCTTGTGGCACTATGCGTCGTCACTGCAACAGTCACTGGATATCCGATGGGTCAATGAACTTGTTGAAACACAGCAGAAACCTCTCGGCTGTCACTGAGCACAGTGTACCCAGACGAACTATTAGGCGCGAACTAAAGCGGAGCCCACGTGCTGACAAGGATGGCTGGTAGACCATTACGGCTCAAGAAATGGAGAAGGAACGTGTTGCAGGCAACTATCGCAAGCTCTTTCAACTGGTTCGCACTACTGGTCCCAGGAAACCAGGCGTCAATGAGACAAGCAGAGACAGTGCGGGCGCACTGCTACACCGTGTGGCTCGTGAGGTGGAACAGTTTCAAGCTCAGTTCAGATAGCCCCCTGCTTCTGGACCTCTTCCAAATCAGGTGAGGCAGAACGAGGCGTGGGCGGTTTGTTTCGAGCCTCAGTAGAAAGTCCGAAACGCAAACACAGCACTCAATCGTTTTCGTGCCGTTGGCCCAAATTCCCTTCATTATTTTAGGATGGTGGTTACGTCCTCTGCAAAGCAGTGATGTCCCTATTCGAAAGTATCTGGAAAGACGTGTCTTGGCTAACTGAAGCAAACCGATTATAGTGGCAATAAACAAGAATGGCAGTCGCACAGACTTTTCTAACTAGAGAAGTATCAAACTAACGCCAGTTGTGACAAAAGTACTGGCCGCGTTTTTCATT